TTCGGGCCACTTGACAATTAAAAACGAATACGGACGATACACGTGATACATTCAGGATCTTCAAAGTCGAAATAAAAAGCAAATATGACAACTAAATGGAGTAAATGCAAAAGCCCAATCAAAAAATAAAACGTTTCAGTGCACATAAATGGGTGTCCAAGTACTCTTCGTACTGGGAACTGCAACAATTCCAAACGGGTGTCCAAAGACTCACGTCGAAGAAGATGTCGTCGCCGCTCTGTGCATCTTATTAAGATGAAGTCGAAGACCTTTTGGCGTGCTTAGTAACTGACGACATTCGTCAAATGGACAACGAAGTTGATAATGAATTGGTCGAAACAATATTCCTAAAACAAATTTGCTCCACGCTCACAACTAAAAATGGAAACGTAACAAATACCTCTCGCAGTAGCTTCCTGTTTAGCGGTTTTCACATGTACACTGAAATAGTGTTTCACTGCCTCTACTTCGTCCACTTGCGGCGCAGCACAGTCAAGGCAGAACCATTTCTGGAATTAAAGCGCGCAGCTGAAGACACCAATAACGTGTTATAGAATTATTAAGTAAGGCACTACAAACCATTCTGTTAGTATGCAACTCATGCAGCGACCGAATTTGAGGTGTTGCCATTGATTCTTGACATATCTGTAATGGCCTTTTAGCAAAGGAACAAGAACAAGACCTAAACAAGTACAATGGAGTGAGAATATGCCTCGCATCCTAAATCACTTCTGGATGCAGGTTGGTGTTCTACCACCGCACTAAGTACCGGCATGGGTGGCCGCTTAGCAGCTGAAGGATCTTCTTCTCCTTCTGAAAGGGAGTACTTACATGGATAGTTAGAAAGCCCATTTTCACTAGTTGCGTGAATCCTAGCATAATTCCCATTCTTCGGAGATTTGATTGCTTTGTCCTTGCGACACTCTTTAGCAGTGAGGTCCACCTAGCTGAGGCCTTCGCAAGTCGTCAACATCGCAGGTAGCCCTAGCCTAGTGGACGAGAAGATTTACCATCATCCCACTTATTTGATGCCAGAACGGTCGTGATTCTTGCGATTCGTTTTCTATCAGCTAAGCTTTTCTTTGCAAACGAAAATTGGTATTCAGATCAATACAGAAAATTAAGTAGAGAGTATGTCAACCCGGCAAAGGCAGAAGACATAGAGCCTTTGGTTATCTCTCAGCTCAGAAATGACCAGAAATTCCTCATCTTTTACACTTGGTTATTAAAACGCGAAAGCGTACTTCTACTAATGATCTTACGTCCATCACTCCATCACCACTTGCGTTTAGACCTAGCGCGAATTATATACCGAACCGAGGGATAGAATAACATGATCCGTAAACCTCATCCTCACACAGGTGCCAAAATTTGTACCCATCTATATATCTATTACCAAAATATTCTGAGATCACCTGCGCTGCGCGCAACTAAACAGCACGCGTGTAGTAGTGCCATTTGATGCTGACATTATAATAATGATTCCAGTGACTCTATAATTCAATTCATTTACAGTCTTCTCGTAGAACATGAAGAGAATATAAATACGTACAGCTTATTTACACCTAATGATTTTTTCTTAAAATAGTTTAATAGTTGTTCATTCTTTAAAAACCTTGGTAGATATTTTGCCCGAATAAAATTGTTGACCAAGGGCCGTCAATTAGCATCAAGCCTTGCTATCACTTTAATGTCTACGGTGGATGCTCCAGTTTCGTCCCTTAACCTACCGTCCATGCATAAACGGTTGCTTCATTGTCATTTCCACACAACAATGAGTGAGCAAGTTTTTTGAAATATAAAATAAACAATGACACGTTTGAGACAGAGGCGAAAAGAAGGACTCGCACGGTCTGGTGGTGAATGCGGTAACCCTCGAAAAGCAAAACAATGAGTTCGATACCGGCTTTCAATCATGTTCTGACGAGGATGATTTGGAAAATTGTAGATGGCCTAAAAGAAGAGCTCACTGAACAAAGTCGTAAACGACCACTGAAAATGAAGAAAGCGCAAGAGGAGAAAGAAAAATTTGAAAAACACGACATTGGTGATGTCCTGAAGGAGGCAGATAGAGAAGTAGTGAATCCAGCGCCACCATAGAAGCAACCAGCATAAATACGGGGGGATACGAGAGAAGATGTCATATTCTTGCACAAAAAAGAAGCATAAAATCACGAATACGGTGCGCAACTTCGTGTTTAGAAAATAAACATGTGGGCGAAAGTGGTCGTTTTTGAACAGATGGAAATTTCTGAAAACTTTAACCAATTCGTTCCAGTAAAGGACCAACTAGTTGAATAATCCATCACCCGAAACCATCTCGTCCTCCAGAATTTCGAAGATACTTAACAAGAGGAACATCTTAGTGATGCTACTCTCTATCGCCCATCCTCTGAAAAGGAATATAAAAGTCAACACCGAAAGCTAAACAATCAATGGGTCAGTGTGGCAAAGGCTGCGGGTTTAAAATCATCGGTTATTTCGCACTTTGAAATCGATAGACCAGCATGTCCCGTCCTATACCTACTTATTAAAACACATAAGTTGGTATCACCTGATGATCATGCGTTAACCAATCCGTCATCATTTAAGGTTAAACCGGTCATCAGCTGTGTAGACGGGCCAACGGATAGAATAACCTGGTTTTTAAGCCTGATACTTACCCAGTTGCTTAACCACATTCCAGCTCACCTCACAAACACCCAAATGTTCCTAGAACGTCTACGTAACGCGTCTCTTAATAACGCGTACGTGATGGAGTCTTTCGACGTTACCGCACTGTACACCAACGTGTAGAATGATTCCGCAATGCAATCCATCTTCCAACTTCTTGTTGAACATGAAGGAAGAATAAATATGCATGGCTTGTCCATCCAGCACCTAATGGCTCTCTTAAAGGAGTGCCTAAACTGCTCGATTTTCAGATGGTCTGGGAAACATTTCGCGCAAATAAGGGGGTTGGCAATGGGACAGCGATTGGCACCAAACGTTGCCATTGTGTTTATGTCTAAGATAGAAGCCCCTGTTCTCGATCTCCGGCCACTAATCTACTGCAGATATGTAGATGATTGTTTTGTCGTCTTTACGCAGGAGGAGATGGACAAATGCTTTGAATTATTGAACGAGCAGTCCGAGTACATAAAGTTCACGCGGGAGAAACCGAGAGAAAACTGGCTTCCGTTTTTGAACGTTCAAATAAACCTATCAAGTAGCGGTTACCTGACAAAGTGGTATCGTAGAGCCAAGTCGCGCTAAGTAACAAAAACATTCTTGTTCATTTCCTTTCTTCCCACCCTTCACACACAAAGAGGGCGATTGTGAGAAACATGTTTCGAACAGCCACCTCTGTATGCACTACCAGGGAACTAAAGGAAGAGTCGCGCGACTTGGCTCGGCAAATAGCCATCTCCAATGGCTACGAAATAGTAACCCCACGAGATAAGTTTACAAGGAAAACGACGCGCCCACGCGAAACACTTGGCCAAAACAAAATCCCGTTTATGTTGCCTTTTATAAGCGATGAAGTAAGCGCAGCTATAAAACAATGCTTAAAAAGGGCAGGTCTAGAGGAATCGGTAGCGATAGTTGAAATNCTACTCTACGTCGCCAATTAGTTCGCAACCGCCTGTATGACCGTCTGTGTGAAACAACAAATTGCGTAATTTGCCCTTACGGAAGGGACGGTGATTGCATGAGTTCGGGTACGATATACCTGATCTCGTGTAACAATTGCGGAGATGAATATATTGGCGAAACGGGCAGACCTTTGTGTATCCGCAAAAAAAAAAAAAAAGATGGCAAACGAAAACTAAGACGAAGCACCCACTAGGCACGCATAGGATACAAAAGCATAGCGGAGACGATTTTGAAGTAAAAGTCAATATCCTTGCACAGGAGTCCAAAACACCAGCGTGAAAACTCCTAGAGGCTTTTTGGATCAATGCCAAAAACCCTACAATGAATAGCATGGACGAATGCCCGGAGGTCATACGCGACCTGATCCCGTACGTTCGCATCGATTTTTGATGTGCGATGGTGCAGTCCTCAACCATATGCGACTATAATCAGCTGTTCTAAACTTCCTCATTGGAAGTCACGAAAAAGCGGTGGGGTTTTCGAGAAGTTGTTGATCGTGTAATTACCGAAGAGTTTTTCGTCTTTTTGTAAGTGTTATTGAAGCGTTTGGCCTAGTAGATTGTATATCAGTATACCCTTCCAGGCTCTGAAGAAGGCGATACTGCCGAAACGTCAGCTAGCGTTGTATTGTGTTGTGTTTCTCTATGGAAGTAAATGTATGCTGTTTAAAAACCTCGCGATTGCTGAACAAGAAAACGACGCATTCATATTCCAATGACGAAGTTAATAGAAAGTCGATCCTGAGAACTCATGTGAGTAATAACAAAATTTCAAAACCGACTTTCCTTGAACCTCGATATGTGTAGTCAACATGTATTCTTTCTTTGATAAGCTTACAAGAGGTTGATAGATTAATTTATTTCGGCTAACGTTTCCACGTCTTCGTCTTCATCAGAGCCGATGATCCAAGTTGATAGTCCACGGTTCATCTTCATTCGACTATAACCATCTAAAAAACTAGCACCATCTATCTGAGAGGATAAAAAAAGTGTTCGTGTTTAGAAAATAAACATGTCTGTGAATGTGGCCGTCTTTGAACAGGTGGAAGTTTCTGAAAAGTTTAACCATTTCGTTCCAGTAAGGGACCAACTAGTTGAATATTCCATCACCCGAAACCATCTGGTCATCCAAAATTTCGAACATACTTAACAAGTTTAAAAAAATCTTTTTGGTTTCTTTATCGATACAAACCAACAGGGAATGTTGAAGAAAGAGACCTCGTACATTAAAGGCGCTTGATCGAAACACATTTCGAACAACTAAAGGTGTGAACAGGAAGAGGGCAGAAGGATGAATCCTTAACATTCGCGTGGCAAATAGATATTTCGAATGGTTACAAAACTGTAGCTCCTCGGGATAGGCGTCAAGTATAAACCACACCCTTAAACGATAGTTCAATCGAAGATAATTCCTTTTTATTCTGCCCTATATTTCCAGCGAAATAAGCCCAGAAATAGAACGCTGCATTAGAAGAACCGGTCCAGAGAATTCGGTAACGGTGACAGAAATACCCCGAGACACACTAAGACGAAGGTAGTTCGTAGTCGCCTATATGACCGCGCGTAACCCAGCGGCATTCCTTAGACTGATTCTGTGACCTGAACCAGGACACCAATTAACTGGAAAACTTACAACGAACAAAACTGTGGGTGTTTGAAAGAAGCTGATTGTTATGCGAATGTGTAACGCTTTATCTACAAAGCTTATGCAAGTACTTGGCTGAGTATATTGGATGTCAATTTGCCAATTCAGACTCTGAAGAAGAAGATACCGTCAAAAAATCAGCTACTGTGTGCTAAAAAATGCTATAATACCAATCTCAGAGAAAAAGCAAAAAATCCCTTTTTTAACGATGCTGACGTCCGATTCGAACAACGGAAAACACCGTAGCAATCAGGCGAGGAATGACGTTCACAGCAGCCAACTTGTCATTCGA